TCTCTCTCTCTCTCTCTCTCTCCCCTCCGGACCGCTCCGTGAGTGCGAGAGAGACAGAGCGACAATAGTTGTGAGTGCAATCGCCTGCCGATTGCCGTGCCGCAGTGCGGTAATGACGCCGCGACGCGTTTTAGTAACGCGCTGCACTGTAAGCCGAGGCTCATCCAGCAGGCGCTTCCGGCCGGCCGAACCGCATTCAGAGCTTTCAGAGATTTCAGAGATTTCAGAGTGGCAGTAAAGCAAAGCCAGCGCACACCGCCGACGCGCTCGCTGCCGTGAGCAGAACAGGGAGGACGAAACAACAAAAAGAACAAAACACCACCAACAACAACAACGTGCGCGGCAAACTCGTTCGGCGGTGCTGCCCCGCGGCAGGCCGGCAGGGACATGTAAGTACTCGCGTACGCCGAACACGCCGTGCTAGTACACTGGCACGGACACGCTGCGCTCCGCCAAGTTAGTTACTCCCCACTAAAGCGGGCGCCGCAACTTAGCGGGCCGAATTCTCTCGCCGTATCAGGCGGCCCTGCCCTCGCATGCAGGACTCGCCCTTCTCTCCCTAAACCACTTTGGCGCTGCTGTCTCCAACAACGCCCCGCCCCGCCCCGCCCCGCCCCGCCCCGCCCCGTTCCCTGCGGCGTGCTCGGAACAGCACCTCCCTCATGCATCGCCGCAGCCGGGCGGCAGCCACCTCACATACCTGGCTCCCCACCTCCCCTTTCCCGAAATCAAGTCCCCCAGCGCCGCCACTGAATTAGTTTCGCACTGGCGCTGCATTATGGACGCAGCGTTTTAAAATTAACCCACTCGAAGGCTGCTCGGCTCGGAGGGTAGCCCCGTTCCCAAGACGTGAATCCCGGCCGGATCGGCTCGGCTAGGCTCGTCCTTGGAACTCCGTGACCCTCCCCTCCCGGCCTCCGGCCTCTGCGGGGCCATGGGCGGCGCGCAGCTGACCCTCGCGGTGACCCTCCGGCCGGGCGAGCGGACGGAACGCACGGACAGACAGACGGACAGACAGACAGACTGGCGTACGGCCTCTGCGGTCAGGTCAGGGGATTGAACAGGACAAGGGCTGGCGAGGTTGAGGGCAGTGTTTGCCGAGTTGACCAGATTTCCGGGCTAGGGCAGCGAGGCGGCGGCAGTGACGGCGCGGCGCGAGCGCCTGTGACCCACGGCATAGGCAACCCGCGGACACGGCCGCGCTGCGGGCCTGCCCCCCTGCCGGGCGCTGAGCCGAGCCGAGCCGCCCGCTGAAGCTCAAGCTGAAAGGCTTGAGGGATTTCCCTTTCCACCGAAAGCGATGCGGAAAATGCGATGACCGGGCGGCGGGTGGAAGGGGGGGGGGGCGGTGGCGGGGAAGGCCGAAATTGTTACCCCCGTCACGCCGCGGTGCGCAGCGCATGCCAAGCCGAAGGTGAAATCTTGCCACACCCTGCCGTGCCCGTGCAGGCCGTGCCGGCCGTGCCGGCCGTGCTCGAGGGCCCGGACCGCACGCGCGCTCCAACCCCAGCCCGTCCGCCCCGCCCCGCACTCACACACGCACTTTCACACGCATCAGCCCTCGGAGGAGAAGAATAAAGGGTGGCGCTGGAGACGCTGCTACTTGAGGGTCCCGCGCAGCAGTAGCGCAGCGAGGAGTGTCAAGTGTGAAGAAGAGCGGGAAAAAAACAAATAAACAACGTTTCGCACAAAAGGAAGGCAGCCGTGTTTGTGCACGCCCCGCCCTCGGGCCGTCCTCTCGCGCGACGCCACGCCGGGATCGCTTTGCTTCCGCCTTCTTCCTGGCCGCCTGCCTCTCCTGCACCCTCGCTGTCCAAACTCCAACTCCATCAGCGGCAGGAACAGGAATCAAACACCAACAAACAGACCGGCCCGGCCCATTCCGCAGGACCGCGTCGTCGCTCTGCCTCGCTCGCTGTCATGGGGCGGCCCGTAGGAGTGCGAGAGAGACAAACCGGTCCACCGGAGGCTGGGGGACGCGGTCCACTCCACTCTGCTGCACACCTTGCCGGGGAACGTCGCCAACCCTTGCTTTGCTTATTCCCGTTCCATCAACACGCCTTGCCGCGCCCAACCCACGCAACTCCGGGCTGCCGGCAAATTCCTATCTTATTAGACTCTGTCTATTCGCCCGCTCGACGGCGGCGCACGGCGGCGAGGCGCACGCGAGGGCCTCGGTACACTGGAGGGGGAAAGTGTCTCCGGCGCGCCTAACCACACCACACCCACCGCGACACCGTAGAGGGCGAGGGGAAGGGAAGGAGGGACATCCCTTACCGCCCCGCCGGAATTGAAAACGGTTGAGGTGGATGGTCGGAGTATTTGTCACCCCGACTTGCCGCCCGTCCGTCCAGCTGCCTCATCCCGTCTGTCTGTCTGTCTGTCTGTCTGTCTGTCTGTCTGCGCCTGTCTTCTGTCTGTCTGTCGGTCTGTCAGTGTGCCTGCTTGCGGACTGATTCTGTGAGTCCCGTCGCCTTGTCTCTCTCACACCAATACGGCACGACCCACCAGTGCGAGAGAGACAGAGCGACGAAAACGACTCTCGGAATCAGCGTGCTGTCGCTCTCCGAGCGACACGCTAAGATTGATAATTGGGCACAGTGTGTGTAGCGCCGCTCGCCGCTCCACCGCGCCTGACGGACTCCCCAACCCACCCCTTCCTTTCCGGCGATGTCCACTGGACCGGAGCGACGCAACAGTCGCTAATAGGATTGCCCAGAGTGCGGCGCGGCACGGCGGCGCCGGGGAGTGGAAAAGAGGAGGGGGGAGCGGGGGGGACACCGGGGACATCTCACCGTTCAGGTGCTTCGGCGCGTGATGCCGCTTTCTATGGATTCGCTCGGTAATTTGCATCGGGTAGGAGCAGAGCGCCCGATTCGTCGCTCTGTCTCTGTCGCACTCACTCGTGGGGCTCTCCGTGAGGGTGCGAGAGAGACAGAGCGCCACGGCGCGGCGCGCGGCGGGTTCAAACACCTCGCCGCGGCGGTGGCGTTCTTTCACCTCGTTCCGGGAACTGCCGTCATCCCCTGCAACGCGCGACTTGCGCGTACCTGGCGCCGCGGAGACAGGGGAGGGGGATTGTCTTTGGGGACGGCGTCGTCGGAGGGGAGGAGGATCAGACGACGGGCCCGTCACATAACAATCGGAACACGATAATTACACCTCGCCTCGCCGAGACACTGGGGTGGCTGCCTGCCTGCCGGGGACGGGGCGGGGCTCCAAACGGCCGTAACAAGCATGCTAACGAGACTGGCGGGGCTGGCGGGGCTGGCAGACAAACAGGCATAACGCCATTGCATTGATAAAGGTGGGCCGCCCCGCGCCCCGCCCCGTGCACAGCGGGGCGCAGCGGCCCGGGCAACCCGGCGCGGACCAGAGCCGTACGCGGACGGGCCGCGCGCACGAAACTGAAACACTTCTCCTCCTCGGCTCCGTGGCTCCATGGCGCGGTGCGGCGCGGCCCCGCGGCCCGTGCAGGCAGGCAGAAGCGGCAGCGAGGCGTGCGTACAATCGCAGCCAACACTCTGGCAGCAGGGGCTCCGGCAGCTATCCAATTTCGCCGAATAGAAACACCGTCGGGGAAAGCCCCCTCCCCCTGCAGGCGCTGCAGGCCGCCTCGGTGCCCCGCTGCGCCCCGCTGCAGTGTACCGCCGCTCCGCCGCGAGGCGACGAAGGCCGCAAAGAAGCGCGCCGGGAACACGCTCTCGGCGATTAGGCCCTCGATTAAGTCAAAACCGTGGGAACGCGGCGGTGGTGTCTCTCTCGCACTCGTGGGCCTGCCCGGAAGGGTGCGAGAGAGACACGACGAGAGCGACTGGGGCACTGCTCGGAATGAGAATGCACGGGGAGGGGTGGAGGCGCCTCTGCATTCTGGGCGATTCTGGGCACGTCCCGGGGATTACCCAGAGGGCAGTGGCGGGGCAGCCCGTCGGGGCGCGGACTGGTTGCCGCGCCGGGGCGGTAAGGTGACCCTCCCAGCCCCACCGCGTAATGTACCCTAATCGAGAGATTAATTCATTGCCACCCACGACCTCTCTCTGTCTCTGTCTTTCTCTCTCGCACTCGCGGCGTGACGGGTGCGAGAGAGAGGGGCCGGGGCCGGCGGAACCCCCACTCGAAATCAGTCTGCTGGAGGCTTTCTGTCTCACTGCAAGGGCGGGCTCGCCGAAAGGAACGCAGACCTCACCACTGGGAGACGCGTGGTCCAAGACCGACTCCAGCAGCAGGGGCGCTGCCCTGCCACCGGGCACCGGGCCCTGCCCTGGCCTTCGAAAAGAGAGACCTCATCGGTGTGCATATATTTGCACACAGGAGGCAAGGCGGCAGGCCCCGTTCCACTACACGAGATGGGAAGGTGCATCGCCGTAGTTCGGCGGGGAGGCCAGGGGAGGGCGAGGCGCTGCCTGCAAACAAACGCCCTCCTTGGCCTGCCTGAGCCCTCGGAGCCCCTCAGCAGGGCGGTTCCGCGAGTCGTCTTCGTCGCTCTGTCTCTCTCGCACTCATCGGGCGTCCCGTATAGGTGCGAGAGAGACAGAGCGACGCAAGCGACTCTCGGAATCAGTCCTGCTGCCCCTCAGCCCCGCGCGCGCAGCGCACAACAGGACGCCGCCCCTCTTCGACGGGAATCCTCATAAGGATGTGAATCCGCTCCCAGATTGTGCCTCGGGAAGAGGCGAGTAATACAGTGTAAGAGACGACCCCCTCATCCCGGCTCGCCCGGCCCGCCCGCCCCACTCCAACCAGACTACCAGGCAGCACGGCGCGCGCCCGCTGCAGCAGCGCAGCGTGCTGCAGCAGACTGATTCCGAAAGTAGTTTTCATCGCTGTCTCTCTCGCACTCAAGAGGCGTTTCGTACAGATGCGAGAGAGACAGAGCGACGTAAACAACTCTCGGCATCAACGTGCAGCAGCACCGGCTTAGGCGAGGACGACTACCAACTGCCTCACGAGGCGTTACAACAGAGTAAAACCTCACGCGAAACAGGAAAAAGAACACCAACCTGATGCTTGGCGACGACCTGCCAGTTGAAGGTGAGGTTCTGGATGGCGGCCTTGACGGTCACCTTGAAGCCCAGGGCGTACGTGTTGACGACGCCGTCGCGCACGTAGTACAGCTCGTGCGACGTGCCTGCAAGCAGAGAAGGGAGACGTCGGTCAGGAGGAAGTTGTCGGCCAGAGCAAGCACGGCAGCGGCCGGGGCGGTGTACCTCGCGGTGTACGTCGCCCCCTCCGTCTACGCCGTCTCCGCGACCCAATCTGCTGGGCGCCGCCCTCGATCGAGTCAAACAAATGCAGCGGAGACACTCGAGCGCGACGGGGCGGGGCGGGGCGAGTGAATCAAAATCCCCAGCGCCAGCGCGGTGCCAAGGAATCCGGGCGAGCGAGGGGAGGCCGCGCAGGCAGGCCGGGCAGGCGGGCAGGCCGCGTTACTCAAAGTTGCCGCAACACAAATACGGCCGGGGACAACGGGGCGGGGCGGGGCGGGGCGGCAACGCATCGGCGGCAAACAATGGGAAGATCATTGGATGCCGGACGGCAAAGAAACTCCCAGCCTTCCCCGCCATTCAGCCAGAGGCCGGAGGCGAGGCGAGGCGAGGCAGGCCAGAGGGCCAAGTTCCCGATAAGTACCGCCCGCCTCCCCGTTCCCACGATCCGCGCTCCGGCAAAGCAAAAACCCGAGAGCGTCGCCGCATCTTCTGTCTTTGTCGCGCTCATGGTCGAGGCCTGGCGGCCCTGGCCCGGAAGGCCGAACTAATTTGATTGGCTTCCGCGCCGCGCCGAGAGATGTTGAATTCCGCGCAGTTTTCAATCGACGGCTAAAAAACGCGGGAAGAGTTCAATTTCATTAACTTTTTTTGTTCGGTGCGTTGCGCGGGTGAGTTGGGATGGGACTCCGCGCGCCCGTACTGTCACTGTCACTCTTCGGCGCGGCCATGCACCCCGTGACAGAGGGTGTCTCTGTCGCACACTGACGGGACGCAGCGTAAGTGCGAGAGAGAAAGAGAGCCGTGTGCACAGTGGGCCAGAAGCCGGTGAAGGCGGCCAAAACTCGGGACGCGGTTTGAGCTCCAGAGTCGCTAAATGGGACTCGAACCGAACGTGTGACCCCAGCAATGGATTCGGAGACCAATCCATTGGTGGGGTCACACGTTCGGTTCGAGTCCCATTTAGCGACTCTGGAGCTCAAAACGCGTAAAGAGTTTCGGCCGCCTCCACCGGTCTTCTGGCCCACTGTGGTGCGGGGCGCCAGGGCGGGCCGACAGGTGCGAGGCGTCAATCGATGCGGCGTTGTAGTGCGGGCCTCTTTGAATCCCCCTGCTTGCCGCCACAGCGCCGAAGGGGACCCCGTCGCCTTTGGCGCCCCGCGCCGCCCCGCCCCGCCCCGCCCCGCCCCGCCTTCCCTCAAAGTTTCCGTCGCGGTGCGCAGCCGAGCGGAAGGCAATATGCCCAGCGCGTCGCGTCGCGATGAAGACGCAGTGGCAGGTGCGTCGCGAGGGTCCCTTTCACTTCCACCCAATCGCCCGGACGGAATTCTTCCGCACCGCGCCGGGCCCGGCAGACAGAGACACAGACACCAGTGTAGCGTCTCTACCGCCGTCCTCGTCTAACGCTTTCCGAGCGCGCAGTGTTTGCGCCACCACTTAGTCCGACGCGCAGAGCGGCACGCCGGCAAAGCCCTTGCGACGACCGACCGACTCGTCATAAATCGCGGCGAGCAGCACACTGATTCCGAGAGGCGTTTTCGTCGCGCTGTCTCTCTCGCACTCGTGGGGCGTGCCGTACGGGTGCGAGAAAGGCAGAGCGACGAAAACGACTCTCGTGACCAGTCCGCAGAGCGCCTCGCGTCGCGCTCACTCCCACTCCCGCGGATTGCCCCTGTCAATAAAGAAGGCAGTGATAAAAACAGAGACAGCGAGAGAGGAGGGGATGCGGCCGAGGACGTGGCGCGTGCGAGGATGCAGGCTCCGCGAGCGCCGTGGCGGGTAGGCCATCCACCAGCACCCCTGTCCGCCGGGACTGCCTACGCGCCATTACCATTACCACTAAGGGATAGACCACACATGATCGTATGCCATTTCGGGCCCGGACTCATGCTCGCCTGCACTGCAAAACGAGACAAGGTCGTCCTTACTAGGGTGACACGTTATACCGGCGGGAGAAGAACCTCAATTGGCTACGGTTACCTCCGCGCAGCTTGATTGCCACTCTCAGAGGATCTTTCCGTCGTGCTGTCTTTGTCGCACGCACGGGGCCTGCAGCAAGGGTGCGAGAGAGACAGAGCGACTCCACGCGCCGCTCCAGCCCGCCGTAGCGATAATGGCCCCTTCGACATTTTGAACAAACACTTCCAGTCTGTTTACCCTCCTCAATGTTTCCATAATGTCTCTCGCCTCGGCGCGATAACTTGCCCCCGCAGCGCGGCCAGTCGAGCGATGCCGCTCACTCTGTCTCTCTCGCACTCGTGGGGCGTGCTGCGGGGGTGCGAGAGAGACGGGACTCGGTCGACAGATACCGCGCCGCCATCAACGAGGGCGAGGCCACGGAGCCGGAGAAGAGAAGACTGCTCTCGCCACAGAAAACGCTTTGCGTGGGCTCGTTTCCTGGTGCGCGCCTCGCAGTGTAGTGTCTGCAGCAGCGAGGCCGCCGCCAGGACTGCCGTGTTCCAGGCCGTGTAGCGGAGCAGCCAGAGCAGCGAGAGGAGCCAACCCGTTGACGACGTCGCGCCGCGGTATCTGATGTGAACTGTGCGCTCGTGCAAACACACGCTCACACGCGCGCCGCTGGTTCACACACACACACGCACAGACACACACGGCCTCCTCTCTACCCGCTAATACGCCTCTTTGTTTCCGTTCCAAAGTCGAGACTCTCTCCTTTGTGCCGCCGAGTTTCTCATTTCCCCCGCATCGTTTTATTTGTTTCTGCGCGCCACACGGGAGTGGATGAGGGGGACGGCGGAGGGGGACGACGCCGAGCCGCGCACCTCGAGCCGCGCCACCACCAGCAGCAGCGGCACCAGCACTGGGAAATGATTCCGAGTTGGAGGCCCGGCATAATGCTAACGTATTCATCCAGCACGACGCGCCTCCAATCACTGGCATTCATCTTCGGAGAGGCCGCCGCACTTCGGCTGCGGCAGCAGCACGGCCACGAGGACGACGAGGAGCAGGACGCCCTCTGCGGCGACAACTTGGAATCTGTTCCTCCCCGGGCGTCGTTTGGGCCCCATTGACGCGCCGCGCATCCCGCCCCGCCCCGCCCCGCCCCGCCATCCATTCTGCGGCACGTCCAAGGAGGCCGTCAGCCACAACAAAAACCGCTTGCCGCCGGAATCGAGCATCGGGGCGCGGCGATCAATCATGCGGCGGCAATGCGGTCGACGGGGCGACGCCGAGGAGGCGCATACGCACCGCCCCCGCCAGCGCGTGCATCGTGCATGCACTCGGCCTGCTTCTAGCGCGCCGGCAGTGCCCCGCCCGGCTGCAGCAGCCTCGCTGCACAGTGTGGCGACAAACTGAGAGCATTACGCAAACCGCACCGTCGCCGAGACATCTCCCTGCAGGCCGCGACACCCCGACGGCCGGTCCGACGGGGAGGGCGGCCGGAATGGAACTTTCGTCGAGGGGGCCACCACCCCCGTAATCCTGTGTACAAGTTTGCTGGTAATCTCTGGTAATCCAGACTAATTTCCCCAGTCCTTGACAATTTTGTCATTTTCAACGCCTTTGAGATTTTCCAAGTTCGAGCGATTATTCAACGTTTCGAACCATTGTCGAAAATTCACGGGATTACCCCGTAAATTCCCCAAACCCGACTTGTGTACGCCTGAAGCAGTGGCCGCCACCACGCTTTCGTGCGCCGTTCGCACCGCGCGACAACCGCACGTTCGCGTTGCCCTTCTCTCCGCAGGCTGATTTCGCCGTTGTGAGTCTCTCGTCCCGGGGCCGAGATGAATGCGAGATGGTAGGCGCGACTCTCGGTCAGCGCATAGCGCTGCCGAATGAAACGGAGATTAACCTTTCCTTCGCCCAAAAAACGCACACGGCCCCGCCCGCCTCGGCCACGGCAATGGCCGCGAACACGCATGGGCCCCCTGCACCGTGGGGACAAAAGCGGGCGAAGCCGAGGCGGGAAATGTTTAGTCAGAGCGGTGGGGCTGTGTGTGAGTGTGCGTCGGTGTGCCTCGATATGAATGTATGTATGGTTGCGCGGTGCGGCCGCGCGTTAGCATGCCGGGGGATCATGGCGGGCGGACAGACTGACTGACTGACAGACAGACAGACAGACAGACAGACAGACAGACAGACGGATGGGCAGACACATCGACAAAGCCACACACAGCTGGGCGACAAAAAGACGGCGAGTCCGAGCGAAAGGTTTAAGGGGGCAGTAGCGTCATTTGCACGTGTTTTGACGATTTTCGAACCTCCTGTTTAGACGCTAATATAAAGATAAGTATGAATGCCAGAGACAACGGCAGGCACCATTTGAAAATAAAAGTTTTTACAACATTCAAAAAAAATATTTTTTTTGCATTGATTAGGATGTTGTGTTCTATGCAAAATGGTCTGCAAAATTACATGGTGTCACTGCGCGCACGATTGCAGCCAAAGTTTAACTTTTTACCATCGGTAAAATGCATCTGAAAGCATGAAATTGCCCATAAAATGACCCTGTTCAATATTGGGCAAGAAAAACTATTGAAACGCTCATCTTCAACGTAAGACCGGAAACGAGGGGCCACATTTTTGACTGGATTCCAAATTAAAAACCCCAAGGGTTTGCTTTTATTTTCCGCAATTTCCCCTGCTTTTTCAGATGCATTTTACCCGATTGGAAAAAGACGAAGACTCTCTGCAATCGTGCGCGCAGTGAAACCATGTAATTTTGCAGGGGCCGTCTCGCCCCGGAACCCCAAACGCATCCTGCCCTTCCCCAGCTACAACCCCACGTCGTTGCTTTTTGAAGCTGTTGTGAGCTTTTATATTTAGTATGGTTTCCTGGGGGCCCTTTGCCTCTGGCACAGACTGATCAGATTAACGTCAAACAGGAGGTCGACACATCGACAAAAACACGTGGGGAAAAAAACGGGGACTCCCCTTTAACGCCAACAAGCACATCGCGTTC